AAATGCCGCTGTGGGTTTCGCCAGGCTGCTCGGAGGACGTCTGCTGTGGAGGAATCTAAACGGTGCCGAGACCCACAGCAGCCTGACGCTTTGGCCAGTCAATGGAACGGGAGGAATCAAATCTGGAAGGTTCAAGCTCCCCAGCTGAAGCGGTGCTTAAAAAGTCCAATAAAAATTGTTATAAACAAGAATTATTATCGGGCCCTCCGGCAGGCCCAGCCAATCAGATTGCTCAATTTGGCTGAACCTTCCTTGGGCTTTTAAAGAGGGGGTGCCTTGTGCTATGATCAGCTCCTGAAAAGATGGATTGTCCCCCTGTAACTGATCCAGGCAGGGGAAGGAGGAAATCCTAGTGTTCAATGAGACAGGAATCCAAGAGACATTGTCGAGTGGTTTTTCATAGTTCCCAGATTGCTGGGATTCTTGGTTTGCTCCCCAGTCTGTTTGTCAAGCTCTTGTTGCAGTCCAAAAATAAGAATTTCCTTTCCTGCTTTCGCCCTCACTCGACAAAGCACTTACGCACATGCTTAGCTTCACGCGCTTCGCCCCAAGATAGATTTTGTTAAACAATGTTTTCATTAAAGTTCAGAATAGTAACAATAAGCCACATCCGAGGAGAGCCGGAACTAAACGGCAGCTAGCTCCATCTCTACGCAAAAGGCACATGGCGAGAGGCCCTGGGTCACGACACTGGACATGAGTGACGCAATGAGTAATAACAAGCACTGCTCAGCTGTATCCCCCAGGGCCTTTCCTTCCAGACACCCTCCACGTGTCCAACACAAGGCTCGCTTCGCTTGCCACTGAAATGCAGGTGAAACGTGGCAGCTCTGTAGGGCTTCATTTGTAATGCCAGAGGGGCAATTGGTTTACTTTCAGATAAGGCAAGGCCAGTGATGCCGGGCTGGGAACTGCCCCTGCAGCTGGCATCTGCGCACACCGCACGACTGGCAGAAGCCAGGCCCTTTCCTCACGCCAAGCCTGCCCTGGTGGGCGAGGCCTGGGACGGTCCCGGGACCCTGCTCCAACCAAATGCCTCCCAGGGTTGATCTGTATCACGCCCGCAGTGTCCTGGCCGAAAGCAGCTCTGGGCCGGAGCTTGGTCTTGTTTACACCAGCGGAAACCCAGAGCTGCTCTGCAGAAGCCAGGATGCTCTCATGCCCAGAGCAGAGCCGAATCAGGCCAACGGGGCTGTGAAGGGGGGTGTCCATGATCTTTGGCCCTCACTGTCCCCAGTAAATCTGGGCAGCTACTGGGACACGTGCAGACTCACTCCCCTCCAGCCCCCGAGCCGGGCCAGGGCTGGCGGGGAAGAGGGGCAGTGGAATGTTGAGGTGGGCCCGGCTTCTGGGGAGGGCGTCAGCCTCCAGCATTCTCAGCCCCGCAGAACGTCCTCCTGCCAGCCACGCAGCTGCGGATTCCTCTCGAGCCCCGCGCACTGGTACTGGCCCTGTGGTTTGGGCCTGCAATCGGTACCACTGCCGGTGCTCTCTCCGGAGAGGCAGCTCAGGCCAAGCCAGCTTTGGGAGCAGCCACGAGAGTCCACATCAGCTACTCCTCGGCTACAGAGCGTCCATATTTGTCGGCGTGGCCCACGGCCCCCACACCGGTGGTTTGGAATGGAACCGGTCGCACCGCGGTGTATTGGAAGTGATTGGGAGAGGGCCCCAAGGCAAAACACAAATGCAACAGTGTTGCTTGGCCCCGAGAGCAGGTGAGTGCCATCTGCTAGTCTCCCCTCGATAACCAGCCCCTGGGAGCATCGGACTTAATATTCCATCTGCCTCACTCCCACCGCGACTGAGCCTGGCGAAAATGACGCTCGGGGCTCTTTTCCGGAAAAGCGCGTCTACATTGGCCACAGACGCTTTTCTGGAAAAAGGGCTTTTCCGGAAAAGCAGCCTGCCAATGTAGACGCTCCTTTTCCGGAAAAACTGAAAACGGAATAGTATTCCATTTTAAGCAGTTCCGGAAATTCATGCCAGTGTAGACACAGCCCTTGTGTTTCAGCCCTACTTACTTACATACCTACACCCTAATTATCCCTTTTAGCTACTAATCCATTGTATAGCGCTATAACCCTAAAATGCGCCGTCACTCCCCTTGGGCTTCGTGTGTCCTACGCACTCTAAATCTGAAGCAAGTAGCAGAGGAGACTTTTAACATGTTGAGCATGAAACTGTACCCACCGGAGCCGAACCTACAGTGACATAACCTCACATTCCAACAACTGCTTTCGTTAAATAGAAGGCTCTGCATGCATTTCTACAGAGACCAACTGTGTTCCTAGGAAGGAACTGTTCCCCTCTCATAAGGCATTAGTCGGGAAGCACGTTTAGAGGTGGGGAGTTTGCACAAGAACGGGCTGTTTGCAAACTGGCAGAAACTCGTGACGACGGAGCAAAGACAATGAAAAGCTTAGAAAATCAACTCTGCGAGTCTGAGAAGATGCCTGCTCTAAGATGCACCATGAGACCTTATGGTGGAAAGGCAAGTGAAAACAGGCTGGCAGGTTTCGATTAATGGTTGTGAAATGTGGAAAAAAGACCTAAAACCTCCAGCATTTGCAGCTTAGTTGTTCCAGTTCTTCCCAAGTGCTTCTGTTGCTAACCCTTCCTACCACTGCTTTATGGATTGTGGAAACACTCGTCAAGCACCTGTCATCTCACTGTATAAATTTGAAAACTGTAACAAGTCAGCTAACCAGCTGAGCCATTGCCAATGGAAACACTCAACCCAAAACCTAGGGGGAGGGCTAGGAACAGTCTGCAAAAGACCCAGAGGAGAGTTACCACCTCAGACCCTCAGCAATAGATTGCCCCTCTTTAATGTGGGCCACTGGTCAGCCAGACAAGACAAGTTGAAATGCTGCATCACTACTGCTGGGGCTGAGGGCATGTCTACACAGCAGGGCTAAAACTGAAATAAGCTATGCAATGTGAGCTGCGTCAATTGCGTTGCTTAAGTCAAAATAGCTTATTTCGGCTTTTGGCGCTGTCTACACAGCAGGAAGAGTCCCTCCGACGTCCCTTACTCTTTGTACAATGAGAGTTACAGGAGTCAGAGTAAGACGTCCTCCGGCTCGACATTATTTCAACATTATGTCGAAATAACGGCTTGCTGTGTAGATGTGAACTGGGTTATTTCGGAATAACCTTGATGATTCTGAAATCACGCTGCTGTGTAGACACAACCTGAGTGACGCAGGAGGAAGAATTCAAGGACTTTGCGCCTTTCCCTCTCCCTGACACTGCGAACTAAAGCCCTTGCACTTTCACTTTCCAGCTGTCCCTGTCCTGGGAAGGGTTACTAAGCACAGGGCAGTGTGACTGGCCTGAAAGGTCCCTGAGGGAAAAGTCCTGCCTCCGAACACAGGCAGGACTCTGAGGTCGAGGCGAGGTGACATCCATCACTTTCAGTACAAAGTCCCTCATTTCGGAATCCTTTGTCACGACTGGGCCCAATTCAACAACCCCTGCTCCTGGAGCCCCGCACGAAGCTGGGGCTGTTCAAATACTGCAGGGCTCTACAGGCCTTTGGACACCATCAGTCGCCTCTTCCGTTTTTCGGGGGGCCTCTGCTTGCTTTGTAATCGCCCGTTGAGACACGTCAGGCCTCAAGGGAACCATACATGAACCTCGGGCACATCGCTTTGTGACACGGGGCAGAGCGGGGGGAGGGGGCTTCCTTCCACAACCAGCGCTGGGGTGGCTCCACTGGAGTCCGTGCAATTGCGCTGGCGTAAAGCTGGTGGGAGCGGGAGGAGAATCTGCTCCGGGATCTTCTGCACCAGCATCTGCCCAGGATAAAGGTGTTTGCTTCTCATGCTAGGAGGGGCCATTAGGGGAAAATGAGAGTCCACGTGCCATGAGGTGCCTGGGATTCCTCAGGACACCTCGGGTCTATCCTAGGGCTGGGATGTTGTTCTGAAGCCCCTCAGCCTGGCCATTATAACAGATCTGCTGCCCCCTAACTACTCCACAGTGATCCCCGGGCCCCTCTCAACTCTGCTGCCACCAGCTGATCCTGCTTTGCTGTGCAGACCAAGTGTAGAGTAGCTGGTGATGGAGGACAGCACATCCCCCCACACCCCGCCCAAGCCAGTATATCGCATTGAATCTCCATCCCCACCCCAGCCCAGCTGCTCTTTAACTCCGGAGGGAAACCCTCCTCCAAGCCCCGGTGTAAGGAGCCGGGGCCCTAAGCTATGGCACAGTGAAGAGGCCCCGTAGCAATCCCCCAAAATGTGCAATGTTCCAACAGAAAGGACAATGAAAACAGAAACGACCACGTTTCATCTTTGCGTCTGTCCGGGTGCATCGGCAAGGATGCAACTAAAAACTCATCATTTGGGGGTTGTTTACAGGCCCCTCATAATCTGAGGCCCTCAGCTGTAGTTCACTGAGCTTGTGCCTAAATCTGGCCGTGGTGAGGAGGGAACGTGCCAGGCCTGCCCGGGAGTTTGGAGCAGGCAAAAGACAGCTCAGCCCTGCTCACCAACAGCAACGAAGCTGGGCATCTGGTGCCGGGAGCCATTTTCAGCCTCCGTGTCGCTAGGCGAGGGAAGGGCTGTAACCGTGCAGGTGAAGCGTAGTGTTCAGTCCTTGTCTCACTCTGGCCGTGGCGTTTCCACTGCAGGGGCCCCTCTGGGCAACTCCAACGGCACGTCCCATACGAAGGCAGGTACATAGACACCCAGGCAACGCAACCACAACGCGCCTCCTCCAAAAGTCTCCCTGCCTTTCTCTCTGGGCAGCCCCAGCTCTCTGGACGTCTGAACAGGCAATAGCACATCCTGGGCTGTCATTGGTATTAGCCGGTGTCGGTCACAGAACCGAGGGGGTGTCTCTGGAGCAATAACCTCCCACGCCCCTCCCCCCGCCTTCCCCAAATGGCTTTCACTCTTGCTTGTACATCCAGGAAGCCTCCTTCCTCTGCCCACTGTCCATCAGTGCGCCCATCAGTGGGGAGGGTTAAAACAGAAAGGAAAACAGCCTACCTGCTGGTTCTTCCGTGCTGCTGGCCGCAGTGGTGGGTGGAGCAACAGGAATCTCTGTGCAGAAGGAGAGACAGGAAAAGAGAAAGGATAAAACGGGGGGTGGGCATCATTCCAGGCTCCAGGTGAGACAGGGCTATGCACATCCCTCTTGCTACCAACTCCCACTGCTTGGGAGTTGCTTTCACAGTCTCACCTGTGCAGTATTGAGAAAGCGAAGGGCTACACTGGAGAGCCGTGCGCTCCTGCAGGGTACAGAACCTGCCCCAGGGTGACAATTGCTTGTGTTGACACAGGAATTGGGAGTTTGCTTGTTTGTTTTTTAAGATACATGAGAACAAATGGCTTAATTCAGGATTTGGCCTGGGGCTAACGCAGCAAGTTTTAATCATATTCTTGCCTGTTTCAAACAAAGTGAAAGAGAAAATAGGTTTTTTTGTTGGGGGGGGGGGCTGTTTTTGGTTGTTTCTTCTGCTTAGTTGTTGTGGGGGTGCCTGCGTGTTCTGTAAAGGGCCAGCAAAATGCCAGCAGCCTGAGCCCCAGAGTCAGTATGAACATGCTCCTCATTGTGTTTACTCTAATCACATGGAAATTTGGTGTCTGTCTTTATGCAGTGCAAGGCAGCCCGGCGAAGATGATGCAAGGAACAACTTGCTCTCTGGTTTACCGTGGCTGCTGGGGACTGAAGTGATAAACCTTTGCCCATACCCACTGCAAAGCATGCTGGGTGTCGAGTTTATTGCATCTTGGGAAACAAGCATCCGCTTTGGGCTCCTCTGCCCCATTGCAACATGGGAAAGAATGAACCTCAAATGACCAAAACCCACCATGGAAGGCATGTTTGATTCAGCACTTCAAGGTGGAGCAGGGAGGTATCTCGAAACAGTCATCATCTTAGGCAGGCCTTGGGAACAGACAATGCTAGCAGACTGTGGTCTCTGCTAAAGACTTGATTCTTTCAACCATCTTCCCTTTTGTTTTCATACCAGGAAGTTAGCACAAGCAAGGAAGGCTGCTTTCTACCACCCCTCCTGCTTTCCGAGGCTACTGGGGTTTCACTGTTGTGAGTTGCTTTTTATGGTTAGAATTTTGTCATTTGATTTCTTTAATGCAAGGAGAGATAAAGGGACAGGACCAACATCGCACCTCACGGACACACAGAGTTATCCAACAACAGCAAAGACAACAGGCAGCACAGCTGCTGGTTCAGTTGAAGAGATTAGGGTTCAGCATTTGACGGAGACACAGAACACACCGTCGCTGGCTGTGCCCATGTGGCTTTCCCATGGGGTGGTTTGTGAAGTGGTACAAAAAGGGGGCTGAGGTTTTTGCAAAGGAAGCGTTGAGACAGGCAAGTCTGGAGATTGCAGCCTGGTGCTTGTTGCTGTTGCTGGTTGTGAAGCAGATTTAAAATTGGAAGTTTAATAAAAGCTTTAAAAGGCAACTAAAAAAGCAAATGTTCCACATTTCTGGCTGGATCATGTGAGCGCACAGTCCTGTTTAACAGTCTGGGTGTGCACGCGTGCAAAACACTTTGCTGCTTCCGAGAGGTTTGTAGGAAGACAGCAGCCGTTCATAATGCAGCCGGGCAATCTGCTGGTTTCAGTTGAAGGGCTTGACAATACATCACAAGGAAAGCAAAACAGCAATTTGCCATAGGAGACAGAATTGTGGTGGCATCTCCTAGGACACAAACATTCAGGGCACTCTGTGCATTGCAGAAGTGTTTGCAAAGCAAAAATCAAGCCCTTTTAAAAGCTACCCAGCTGTCTGATGAAGTGTTTTTTAGACTGCACTCACATGACCGAAGCAGAGTGGCAAATGAGATGCATGTGATCTGCGCATGTGTCTATGGCATAGACGCACACCCGCCATGCAGTCTGTCCCACTAGGATTTCATGAAGCGCTGGTAATTGAGCATATGCAGTCCGGTGTTAGTAACCATTCGACCCGTTTAGGGCTCAGCGGCTGAGCTGCTGTTGTTTTAAAAACAATGTTAATTCCACTATGCTACAGACGTCAAAAAGAGCGGTCCACCTACTTATGCAAGGGGCAATGGGAGATCGGCTTTGCTGGTAGCCTTTGGCACATCGATTGCACGTGATGCCAGTCACGCCATCTTTACAGGGACATTGGCCTGTGGTTTGATTACAGGTTTTGCCAGCTGCACCCACGGGATGGCAATCGCATGCTGTGGGGGGAACACACAACAAGAGGGTCAGAGGTGGGGGGAAATGTACAAGGTCATCTCACAACAATAGCAAAGTGCACCACCTATTGAGAGAAGCGAGGGTTGCACTAGCGCGTCAGGACTGGGGAGAAGTGGGCATGTTTGCAACCAGGCTCCTGCAGATATCCATCCAGTCTAAGGCGACTGCGTTTCCCGTCAACCTGGAACAAAGGGCTCAGTTTACACAGGTGGATTGAAACAGCCACGAGGCACATCGGAACCCGGGACAAGGGGATGAACTAGACCCAATACAATTGCAAAGGACATGACTCGGCCACAACAGGTTTGGAAGACAAAACAGGCCCCTAATGTCAAGCCAAGAAGGCAGTGTGTCGTGGGCGCTTAATCTGCCCCAGATCTGAGCAGCTGAGGTAGCACAGGGTCATTGCTGTGAGGACATCCACCCTGTGATGTTGCAAATGATGAATTCCAGGAATTGTGGGGTTGGTAGTGTGGGCTGGGAGTGAGGAGAGAGGAAGAGGCAGAGAAACATGGTGATTCAAGAATCCACAGCCCCAGCTGTCCCAGCGCTGTGGTTGCTAAATTCACGCTACATGTGCTACTGGCCAGTTCATTTTGAGAGGAGGACAAAGTCCGGGAGGGACTTTGCAAGGGAGTTTAGCTGGAAACCATGTGGTTTAGAGAGGGTCTGAATTTATTCCACCTCGCATGTAAGAACCACCTTAGTCCTTCACCCCTTCCTGGCAGAGCAGCATCCCCTGCAGCCGGTCGTGTGGGCGCAGAAAGGAAACACCCTTGGCTTTGTTTCCCAGCTGGGAGCGCCTGCCTGCGGGTACGTCCCACTGCTCCACTCCGGGCGGATGGAGCTTTGAGTGCAGATATGAAGGGTGTGAAAGAGGATGCAAAATCGGCACTCGAAGTAACACAGTGCCAATCTCCCACAGTGTCACTTACTGTGCAGCTGTTGGTCAAGAGCATCAGGCATTGTCACCCTCACAGCTTTTCATGCACGCAGGCCCAGGGGGCTTCTTAATGTCCCCAGTTTCCCTGAGCTGCACATTAAGGCCACGTTGTGGCTTGGCCCTGCGGAGACGGGCAGCGATGAGGAAGATGCGAGGAGCCCTCCTTCCTTCCTCTAGCGTTCTCCTGCAGGGTCCAGCCACAGTCCCCCTAAGACGTGCAGCTCCTGCTCTCTCGGAGCGTCCCATTGGTGCTAGCTCCTGGAGGGCCTGGGGGAGAGCGGAGCAGTGGCTGGCCCGGCCCCCCATACCCAAAGGCCAGCAGCTCTGATGAGCACGGGGGAGCTCGGGGGAGCAGCATCCCAGCGAAATCCTGCCAGCAGCCAGGGCAGGTAGAAGGCAGTGGCCACAGACTACCCCTTGACATGGCACCGGCACTGCCCCAGCCTGGCCTGGCACCACTGAGGCAAATCTCCGAACTGCCCCTCTCAGTTTTAGTAACAGGCTGGGGAGCCATTTGGCCCAAATTTGGGAGCTGTGTGGAGGAGGGTGTAAGTGGAGCACAAAGCTGACTCAGACCTTGATTTCTGCTGCCCTCCTGATCTCCCCACAAGACTCCCCCACCCCTCTCCCAGCAAACCCTCCCCCTCAAATTCCCTCATGCCCCCTCTGTCTGGCTCCCTCCTTCCCCCTCAAACTCCTTCCCCCTCATTCCCTTCCGCACCATCATACTCCTCCTCCCCCCCCTGCTTTGGCTCCCATATTCTGCCCTGGACCCTCCCTCCTCGTCTCCAGTTTCCTCCTTTCCCTCCCCCATGGCCCTCTCTCCCCTACCCCATTTTCCCCATGTAGCTCTGGAGAGAATTGGCAGCTGCCAGACTGGTCTCTGCTTTCCCCGCCCAGCCATGCAGGGCCAGCAGCCAGCAGTTGCCTCTCAGGTGTCAAGGGGCCGTTCAGCTTGGAGGGGGAGGGCATCAGGATGCACCATTGTCCTCTCCCCCCGTCCCCCGAGCCTTCTCCCCACTTCCGTGGCTCCGTAGCTAAGAGTTGGGGGGACAAGGTGTCCCCCTCTACTTTACATTGGGTTTGGAAGAAAATGCCCCCTCCACCTGCCCTCTGTTCAGCTCCCTGGTCACTGGAAGGCCTTTTGGCAGCATGAGGCCGAGGAGAAGGTCTCTCAGGGGGCTAGCTCGGCCAGTGGCTAATCTGCCTCCCCACCATGAGGCTCTGGTAGAGCCGGGTGCACAAAGGGAGGGGGGAGAGGTTCCTGCAGAAAATGATGAAAAAAATTGAAATTTTAATCCAAAAAGAGAAACCTGCACCGTTTTGTCTGATGCGGGTGGTTTTTCAGTCAGTTTTTGACAGAAAGCAGGCACTTGTTGTAAAACATGTCGCTTAACCAAATCCCAATTTTCGATCCAAAGGCATTTTGGATGGAAAATTTTTGACAGCCCTGACAGAAAATCCAAAGGGCCAGGCTGTCTCACCGGGGGAGGGGTGGTGAGGGAGGGGCAGTGTGAGGAGTGGTATCAGGAGCTAGCTGATCCGAAAGCAGGGAAGGGTGAGCAGCCATCAGATATCGTTTAAAACGGCAAAGGGTTATAAAGGAAAACAATACAAAGAGGAAGTGGGAAAGTGCTGAAAGAAATACAGAGCAAGGAAAAGGCTCAAGATCAAAGACGAGCGGAGAGGACAGAGCTCGGGACAGGGAGTCACTAGGGGAAAATTCAATACAGCAAATCGGGCAAAATGGACGACAAAACACCTTCTCCTCTCCTCTCCCTTGACCCCACGTATTGTTCATATAGGGCAGGAGACTTTAAGCCCTGCCTCCAATGAGTAACCCTTATCTATGTGAATGCCTCTGCTGATTGAGCACGGTGGAACTGCTCCAGCGAATAAGGATTGCTGGTGATGAGTAAGAGTCACAGAACTGGGCCCACGGGATAGGGACTTTCAGGAGAGGGGCCTGTCAGTAAAGCCCCACATGACTTTATGGGCATCCTAGAAATAAACAGCAATGCCGCCTCCCTTTGCCATGATATAGGTCCGTTCACGTGTCCCGTCCAAATCGGCGTTTGCCATTTCCACAGCCACATCACATAACAAACTCATGAGACAGACAAAGTGGGGAAGTAAGTTTGCCTCTCTCACCAACAGAAGATATTTCCTCACTCACCTTGTCTCTCCAATAGCCTGGGTCCAACATGGCTACAATAATACTCAACTCAGGTCTAATTTGCAGCCTGCTCACAGCCCCAGGTCTCCTTCAGCATTAATTATACTCCCCTCTTATAAGCGCCTTACAAGGGAAGGTCACTAGCTTTATCTCATTTTGGACATGAGCACAAGAGCAGAGAAGGGTGGGGATTTGCCCAAGGTCTCCCAGCGAGTCAGTGGCAGAGCGTAGGATGGAGCCCTGGATTCCTAAGGGCCCTATCCTATCTCTTCCACGTACGATCTCAGCCTGTGACCTCCTGAATGGGAAGGCAAATCCTGAACAGATTGCAGAACTCCCCTTCTTGAAATGGATCCCCAAACTTTTCCGTTTTGCAATATGGGCTCATGGGATGGAAAAGGAATGGGGAACATCATTAGGGAAAAATCCTTCCATTTGGTCCTCACTGGTTATGTCTGACTGCCCCTGCAGATTCTGCAGTGACTCCACACACAGAATTGCCATGCACAATCCAGACACCCAAGGAGCACAGAATATCCCACTGAGATCCACAGGACAGAGGGGAGACGAGACTGCTGAGACTGGAATCTGAGACTATGGAGAGCTGTGCAAAGATATTCATAACTAAACACAAAATTAGGTTTCTGGGGGGATATGAATCTTCCACCAAACTTGGGCCAGTTTAAATAGCCTCTGGGACCTGAGTTGCAAGAGGGCCCATGTTGATGCATAGTTTTGGGTAGAAACTATATAAAACTCACACTGGGTCACTTATTCCGGAAAAGCAGCCGCTTTTCTGGAATAACTTGCCAGCTTTCTACACTGGCCGCTTGCTTTTCCGGAAAAGCAAGGACAATCTACTGTAAAATTGTCAGTGTTTTTCCGGAAAAACTATGCTGCTCCCGTTTGGGCAAAAGTCCTTTTCCGGAAAAACTGTTCCGGAAAAGGGCCAGTGTAGAAAGCACAGTAGTCTTTTCCGCAAAAAAGCCCCGATCGCAAAAATGACGATCGGGGCTTTTTTCCGGAAAAGCGCGTCTACACTGGCCACGGACACTTTTCCGGAAAAAGTGCTTTTCCGGAAAAGCATCCTGCCAATGTAGACGCGCTTTTTCTGGAAATACTTATAACGGAAAACTGTTCCGTTTTCAGCATTTCCGGAAAAGGGTGCCAGTGTAGACGTAGCCAGGGGGTTTTATGATGCTGGGCAATCACTGGTTGCCGAATATGATCATCTCCCTTGGGAGTTGTGGACCCTCAGGTGGCTGATAAGGTCCACAAGATCTGTTACCGTGAGGACAGATGTTTCCAGGTACAGCTGGAGGCCAGTCTCCCCTTCCTCCTGCACCTCTTCTCCTCCTCAGCTTGTTGGCGGGCAAATTCAAATTGCAGGGAGCCATTGCACAGGACTTCTCTCCAGTTTGGGCGATCCTGGGTGAGTGTCTCCCATCGTCAATGTTGCACTTCTTGAGCAAGTCCTTGTAACACTTCTGTTGTCCTCCCACATGACGGTGCTCTTCTTTCAGGTGAGAAAACAGGACCTGTTTTGGGAGGTGATGGTTTGGCAGCTGAACAACGTGGCCAGTCCTGCAAAGGTGCTGACAAATGATCATTGTCTCGATACTAATGGTCTTTTCTTCCAGAAAACTGATGTTAGTGCACCTATAGACCCTAGATCAGACACAGCCTGGCCATTCTGTCTTCTCTGCAGAGGAGACAGAGGAAATGCTTATTTCCTGGTCTACTTTTTGAAGACAATGAAAATCAGGGTACTGTCAGAGGCTTTGGTATAAAAAACAAAATGTTGAAACACACAGGTAGTTTAAACAATACAGAGTCACCAGGACCGGATAGTGGCTGTCCGA